AGATTTTTTTTCTTTTACTTAATTTTAACTTACATTTACATTTAAATAACCATATGTAGCTAGTGGTTACTCTGTTGCACAACAAAGCACTAGTCAAATCTCTGGTTGTGATTATTTGCCCATGGAAATGACTAGAAGAAAATAGACAGAAGCCTACTGTATTAGTTTCCTAGGGCTGGCATGATAAAGTACCACTAGCTAGAATGGCTGAAAACAACAGAATTTTATTCTCTCATAGTTCCGGACGCCAGAAGTCCCAAATCAAGGTGTTGGCAGAGCCATGCTCTCTCTGGAGACTCTAAGGGAGAATTTGTTCCATGCCTTTATCTTATATTTTGGTGTTGCTTATACACACATCACTCCCCTCTCTGCCTCCACTGTCACGTGGCATTTTTCCTGTATGTGTATCTCTTTTCCTCTTTTTATAAGGACACCAATCATATTGGATTAAGGTCCCGTCCCACTTCAGTATGACCTTAACTAATTACATCTGTACACCCTATTTCCATCCCACCCACAGAGTGTTGTTGGGAGCTGCTGGAAGTGTAAAGCTTCTCCCCCACCCCAACCCCCCCACCCGCCCACTTGCCTTGAGCTTGGCCCTCAGCACTCCTGGACCATCCAGCTGGGTGTTTCTGGCTAGAGGCCTCTCCTCTCCTGGTCCCTCCTGGCCCCCACAACTGGCAGAGATGGCATCCACAGCATCACTGTGAAATCAGTCACAGCCGGGCTCTCGAACAGACTCAATCCAAACCTCTAGGAAGTAGAGCTCATCTCCCAAGCCCCTATCTCACTGAGATTAGCATGAGGCAAGTGAAGCATTTGTTAGGAGAGCAAAATTTAAGAAGGTGCAAAAGAATTCCATAAGATATTTGATAAACTATTTTCAAGGTCAAAATTCAAAACTGAACTATAATGTTCAAAATAACATGAACAAAATAATAAAATTTGAAATCAAGACCGGATCATTGCTGATACTTTCTTTTGCTTCAGACTCAGTATGGCTGAGCGTAGTGCTGCTACTGGTCTATACTCTCTGAATGTCACTATTACTGATCCTGCATTCTTCAGCAATAGGGAAATACACTGATGTCTGCATCTTTGAAATGCATTTTTTTAAAAGGTGGATTGCTAGATGATTAGATGGATAGATATGGAATAGCTATTTCAGCATTGTAAAAATGTTAATTGTTCAGTCTAGGTGGTGGGTATGTGGGCTGTCAGTGTAGAATTTGTTTACCTTTTCTGTATGCTTGAAATTTTTCTTAAGGTTGGGCGCCTGGGTGGCTCAGTCGTTAAGCGTCTGCCTTCGGCTCAGGTCATGATCCTAGGGTCCTGGGATCGAGTCCCACATCAGTCTCCCTGCTCGGCAGGAGACCTGCTTCTCCCTCTCCCACTCCCCCTGCTTGTGTTCCTGCTCTCGCTGTGTCTCTCTCTGTCAAATAAATAAATAAAATCTTTAAAAAAAAAAAAAAAGAAATTTTTCTTAAGGTTGAAAAGGAAAAAAATAAAAAACAGTGAGAAGGACACCCAAGGCTGGCTTTCTGAGGTCAAACCAGCTCCTTCTCCTGAATCCCTGGATGTCCAGGTCTGGGTTTTCCATCACACCCTCACTGGCAGTGAGGACTAAGCCCTGTAGCTGGTCTGCCGCCTCTTTGACTGAAGCCTCTCTCTGGCCCTTGACCTTGAGATCCTTCATCCCCACCAACAGAAAGTCAAGGATCCTCTGAACTTCTTGACTGGTCCTTACGAGCCTCTTTGGCTCCCTCCTTCCCTCCCAAGTTCCTAAGGCAGGAACAGATCAGTCCCTGGGGTAAGACATGTCATTTAATTCCACAACAGAGCATCTTTCTGTATTTCGGGGGAAAACGATCAAAAGCCCATTTTGAAATATGGAGGACCTGAAAATTAAGCACTAAACGGTGATTATCAACTGGGTGGGGAGGGGGGAGAATGGCAGGAAGGGAAGAAGCATTTAGAAATCTGGGATCTGCAGGAAAGAGTTTATCCAAATTCTAAAAGTGGAGAGCTTTCTTTGAGGGCTGGCAGCTTGCGTTCTCACTGCTGGGGGACGAGACAGGGCTGTCTCGGGAACAGGTGGCGGCTACTCCTGGGTTCCGGTGGGGGGCGGGGCAAGGGTCTCGGTTCCTGGCCAGGGCCCCAAGGCATTGAGCCAGGTACACCGACCCATGGCTGCCTGCCGTGGACGCCGGAGGGGACCGCTTATCAGGAAACATGCTAAGACCTGCTGGGTACAGATGGGCACCCTGGGGTGTGCAGAGGTGGATTCCCCCACCCCCTTCCTCAGTTCAACCCCCAGTGAAGATTCATTAGGCCAGGCCTAACACCTCCCTCAGACTCAGACAGTGCCCTCGCTGTGGACCCGAAGCACCACTGGAGTGCTTCCTTTCAACTTATATCCATGCACATTGGTGTGTTAGGGGCAGGGGCGGCGTGGAGATGGGTCCCAGCTACCTGCTCCCTATTTCTCCCGGCAGCCTGAATATGAGTCTGAAATGGATGTCCTACCTATGAGGGTGCGCCTAGAAGGCTGGCTCTCCTGCTCCATCACCCTCAGGACCCGACCGGGTGACCAGGGCTCCTGCAAGCTGAGCATAAAGCCCGGAGCAGGACTCAGGGGAGTGGATCTAGGCAAGTCCGCGGAGGTGGCAGCCACTGCGTCCAGACCTGCCTGCTGTCTCATTTGTCCTTCTAAAGATGGGAAGGATGGAGCTGGTGCACGTGATGCCCCCACTTTGCCTTCCACTGCAGTAGTCGGGGCTTTTTCTGAAGACTACAGACTGCCCTGAGACTCAGAGCACATCCCAGGGTTGGTGGACCGGTGGATGGGTAGACTGACCCAGGAGAAGTGGCAAGCAGGGCAGGGGGAGGGTCAGCTTCCAGGCCTGGGAGACATCAGAAAGCCTAGGGAAGCTGGAAAGTGAAGATTCTTTGGCCAGCTCCGGATCCTGGATGAGAGACAATTGTGACAAAGGGGGATTAGGTGTTTGACATCTGGACATCTCAAATGGTCCGTTTAAATTGTCAGAACCTTGGGCAGCAGAGAGGACCAGATCTTAACCTTCTTCCGCTCCATGGCTGCAGAACCAAGGTGGTGAGGGGTCACCTCTGTCTCAGGTATGCCCACAAAGATGCTCTGTGTGTGTGCGCATACACACACACACACACATTCATCAAGGCTCTCACAAGACACAGAGGTAGCCTTCCCCCCACCCCACACGCAGATCTTTATATCTCCTATGCATGGCACGCATGGGCACCCACAACCGTTGCAGAGAGTGGGGAGAATGGACATTGTTCTTGGGCATTCTCGCAGTTCTTCCTTGTGCACAGATCACATCTAGAGAAACCGCTCCAAACTAGTCCTCTACCTTGGTGGTGGAGACCAAAAACCTCCCACATGGTTTGTCTCCTGTGAGGACCCTAGGAATGGCCTGGCCTTCCTGCCTTCCTCAACCGCATCTATTAAGTCTGACTATGACCTTCTCCAACGGGTCTGGGATTGGCACCCTGGAGTCGGATCTGCACCAAAAAAGGACTGGATCCTCTAGGTTAATTAAAAAAAAAAAATCTTAAACAGGCTGTTCAAGAAGAGGGGAGATTGGGACACAAATTGCTCAGGCTGTTGATTCTAAACAGCCAGATTTCTTCACTGTGGCCGTATAAACCTCAGCTTGGACTTGAGCGGGGTTCTCCTGGGTGAGAGATGCCTGGGAGACCAGGTTGGCCCCTGGCCCTGGGAGCCCCGGGGAAATACACAACCTGCTGTTGATTTCCTTTATAGTTCTCTTCACAGTCCACAGCCAAGTGTGGATTTCTGCATGCCCTTGTTTATTGTCTTTTTCTTTCCCCCCAGGATTGGAGGTTGAGAGAGTCCCCAGAATTCTCAGATGGATCCAACTCCCAGGAGGGATTCAGAACAAATATTATCCTGTTGGTGGCGGCGCGGAGGCCACATTGAAACCGCGGGGAGCTCGGCATGCTCCTTCCCTGCCTCCCGCAAACACCTGGAGGACCTCCTCTTACTGCAGACCATCCTCCTCATTCCCCATGGCTCTCCCAGGACCCTTGAACTACAGGTGCTCCTCCACCCACACCTGCTTCACCAGGCCTGGCCAGAGCCGGATCCCCTGCGATCCAACGCTTTGGGATCCTCCCCCCCCCCCCCCCCCCCGCCCCCCCCCCCCCACCCCACCCCCCCACCCCCGGCCCTGGGCACAAAAATGCAGAACTGACAGGAGGCGCGGGCGCCTTTGTTTCTTCTTTATTTGCGGATATAATGATGTACCGCACTCTAAATTAGAGATAGATTTTTTTTTCTGATATACATTTCATCTTATTCACCACGAGCACACCACACGCACAGTAGAACAGTTCCACAACCTGATAAATTGCACAAGATGAGTTTGGATTCCTGAAAACCGTTAGGCAAGCCGGCCCTGCCTCGGCTTCTCGCTTCCCCGCTTCGCCGAAGGAAATCGCCCACCCGAAACGGATTTCCCGGCCAGCCTTTCCCTCTGCAGGGTTGAAACGTCTCTGGAATGGGAAGCGCTCTTGCTGGAAATGGCTGGACGCTGCAGATTCCGAGCACTGGATGGCTGTGAAATGTCACCCCCCCCCCAAGGTCAAGTTTCTGCGCCTGCGAGCTGCGCCCCCTCTCCCTCCCTTCCCACCTGCCTCGGTGACAGGGACCAAAGAGTCGGGGTCCCTCCGGGAAGGACAGAGAGCCCGGCCCACAAATTCGCCCCGCTTCCCCAGAAACTAGGGTGTTGTGGAAAAGAAAGGACAACAGAAACGCAGACGCGATGGATTGTGGATTCCTATCCCCTCCCACCCCACCCCCCACCCCCGATAATCAGAAACTAGGAACCAGAGATGTTTAAAGCTTGGCTTCCCAAGCAGGGCGGCAGGGCGCACAGGGCCGGTGGGGGTGGGTGGGGAGGGTGGGAAGAGCGCGGGAGAACCGGAGCCCTGGCGCCCTAGTCCTCCGCGTTGGTTCGGTAGGCCTCGATGAGGCCCTCCAGCGAGTGCACGAAGCCGGACACACTGCAGATGCCGCCGATGACGAAGATGGCGACATCGAAGAAGACTTGGTGCCACAGCAGCTTGCGCCAGAGCAGGCGCAGGTGGAAGAGGCTGGGCAGCAGGAAGCAGAGGCCGGCGCCCGTGAGACTGCCGGTGAGGCCCATGAGCAGCGCGAAGTGCGGCACGTAGATGGCCATGAGCAGCGTGAAGACCACGAGCGCACAGCGCAGCGTCAGCCCCCACGATTTGAGGCGCCCGTCGCCGCCGTAGCAGCCGGGGAAGAACGCGCGGCTGCCTTCCTGGAAGAGCGACTTCTCCAGCACCTCGACAGCAGCGAAGAAGGGCAGCGGGTAGGACAGCAGCGCTTTGGCCACCAGGAAGATGTTTACCACGGCACGGATGGAACCAGGCAGGTTGTCCGTGATGACCTCCTTGGTCTCGTCGGCCCAGGTGAGGTAGGCGACCAGCGCGAAGAGGCCTTTGAGCACGCAGGCGGCGATGTGCGTCCAGTTCATCATGCAGTGGAACTCGCTGGGCTGCTGCATGTTGCCCTCCAGCGAAGGCAAGAAGATCTGGGACGTGTAGCTGAACACGATGATGCCAATGGAGATGGGAAACTTCTTGACGTCGATATAGAACTTGACCTTCTCCCAGGCCCAGTCGCGCGCCCGCGAGAGGCAGTAGGCGATGACCAGGATGTTGATGACGAAGTGAGCCAAAGTGCACAGCAGGCTGAACTTGGACACCGCCTTGAGGTTCTTAAGGAAGGCGCAGGGCAGCAGCACGGCGGTGGCGATAATGGACCAGGACTTCTGCGACACGGGCAGCCCTGGGAAGCTGTTGTACATGAGGTTGCCGCTGACCACCACGTACAGGATGCAAGTCATCACCAGCTCGATGATCTGCGCTACGTTCACCACGCGGCCTCCCAGCGTGGGGAAGCGCGGGGCGCAGCACGCGTTGGCTATGGCTACATACGAGTCCCGCACCCGCACCACCTCGCCGTCCTCGTTCTCCTCGTACAGGCAGGCGATGAGGATCTTGCCGGTGTAGCAGCACACCACGGCGGCGAAGATGATGAGGAACAACCCCAGGTAGCCGCCGTGCAGGATGGCGTAGGGCAGGCCCAGCACGAACATGCCCTGCGAAGCGGAAAGGCAACCAGACCCGGGGGCTCAGCGGCCGCAGCGTCGCCAGAGGGGACCTGGGGGCGTACCTGGGGGGCGTGGCTTAAGGCTGCAGCCGCAAGGGGGCGCTAAGTGGAGTGAGACCAGGACTTGAGCCACCCGGAGGAGAGGTTAAGAGTAGGCTCTGGAATGGGAGTGCACCGAGGCCTACTGGGGGAGTCAGCCAGAGGTGGAGAGGGAGGTTTTCAAGGCCGCAACTGAGAGGGAAAGGTACGCCTACGGCTGGGAGGTGCGGAGGAGGCTGAGTGTGGGGTCAAGACACAGGAGGGAATGGTATATGGAGAAGGGGCTGGAGGAGTCGTGGCCAGAAAAGGGCGCTGAGAAAGGTAGAGCTAGGCCTGAGCCATTAGGAAGAGGGGGCACGGGATTCAAGGTGGGACTGGAATGGGGTACAGGGGAGCTACTGAGGGCCTATGGCCGACTGCAGAAGGGAACACGAACGCGGCAGTGGGAGGGGAAAGAGCTAGGGTAGGAGGGAAGAGGGGCTGAGGGTGCAGGAACGCGAAGCAGAGGGAGGCAAGAACGGAGGGAATGTGAGGGATGCTCCCAAAGGCTTTGGGGGGAGGGCGGAGGGGCGAGGGGGGAGGGCGGAGGGGCGAGGGGGGAGGGGAGGGGAGGGGGGAGGCCAGAGGCACGCGGAGTGAGAATCCTAAGGCAAGGCTTCAGTAGGGTGGGAGAGGCTGGGGCCTAAGGAAGGGGCTGAGAGTGGTAGAGGCAAGCAGGATAAGGGGCCTCTGGGGGAAAGCGCAAGCGGGTGAGAATATAAATCAGGGAGTCAAGCTGCAGACTCCGGCGGGCGGACCGTGCAAGGAGGGTTTAGGATCTACAAAGGGAAGAGAAGCTAACGAAATCCAGGGTTCCCGAGGCCTCCAGGCCTCCAGGCTCCCTCCCTGGCCTCCTTCCGGGCCTACAGAACGGGGCCTTCAAAGACGCCCCTGGCGAAGGCGCGGGTGACAAGGAGGCGGTCGCGGTCCCTTGCCCGTGGTTCTGCACCGCCGCCTCGCAGGGCCCGGGAGAGGGAGGCGCCTCGAATCGGACCACTTAGTGTGCAGGGCCCTGCGCAGCCTGGGTCCCCGAAGCAACCCCGCTTTGGCCTTCCGCTCCCAGGAGATCCATGTTGTGCTCCCCAACGACCATGCGCTCCGGGGGACGCCAGGGGGACCAAGCCACAGGGCCCGGGGGCTCCTTGGGCTGAGACCTCGTCCTCCCCTCAAGCCGCCGCCTGCCCGCCTTCGCCAGCTCCTGGGGTCGTTGTGCTGATTCCAAACCCGCTCCCCGCGGAGTCCGGCGCCGCCTGGTGGGGAATGGGGAGCTTCAAGTAGGGTGAAGGGGTGGCAGGCCTGGAGACCAGAGGCTGTTCAGAGCATCCGGAGGCTGCTTCTCCAGAGTGACACGCGGAGAAGCTGGTCGCCTCTTTGCCATGTAGCCGGGATTTCGGGCAAAAGGGGTGAGTCTGTGCACAGGGAGCACTGAGGTACCACAGACTAATCGTGCTTGTGCAGGCACATCATGCATGTGCTTATGTTTGTGTACACCTGAATGTCCCTAATAGGGCAGTACCTGAGAAAGTGGGCTGGATCCTGTTTGCAAGAATCTGTGCTTGTGTGCATGTGCATGTTCAAGGTTCGTGTGTGTTTGGTATATACAGGTATGTGCTTGTGTGGGGGGGTAGAAAGGTGCGTTTGAGGATAGTCTTGCGGTCTATATATAGATGCATATGTGTGCACCTGTGCGGCGTTTGTTCGTGGGGGAGGGTGGATGTGAGCAAGTGTGTCTTGTGCCTGTGTCAGGGGAGGAGACTCCCAGCTCAGCAATTTCCCTCTCTCCTTTCCTGAACATGCAGCTGTGAATCCATTCCGGAGTCCCAGGCGACACCGTTCTCTCCAATCCTGATTTTCTTTCTCCCTCACCCCGCCCCGCTCCCCTCTCCCGTTTCCCTCCGGTTTGCAGGGTCTCAGGGCAAGTGCCTGGGACCAAACCTCAGCCTAGCAGTCTTGCGCCTGGGGCCGCTGGAGGGAGTGCGGATCAGGGCGGGAGACCCCGCTTGTAGGGTTGTAGATTTCCCCCCCCGCCCCCCCTACACACACAGGGCTGGGAGGGATGGAGGAAGGTGAGATCCTGGGTACCGGAGGGGATCTCTCCGCTGAGATCGCCCGGGGACTCGGACGGGGGTAGAGCCTGGTGCTCCAGAGCTGGAGGAGGTGGAGTAGGGGCAGGCAGAGCAGGGAATCCCGCGCTCACCTGGATAGCGTTGGTCACGTTCCAGCCCGCCTCCCACGCGGTGATCTTGGGTTTGTCGTGGCCCCCGAATTCGCCACCAGCCCCCACATTCTGGTCCTTGGAGCCCGAGGGCGGCAGGGGCGCGCCACCGCCGCGCTGGTAATGGATGTCTCCCTCGACGGGCGGTTCGGCGCCCTCGTCCCCGCAGGGCTCACCCTCTGTTTTCAGGATGTCCATCTGCAGGCCCTGACGGTGCTCAAAGTCGAGGTCGTCGCAGTGAGCAAAACCCACCGCTTCCTCGTCGGTGGCCGCCTGAAAACCCATCCTGGCGAACATGCCGCTCACCTTGGCCTGGGACTTGTTGGACACGGTTGTGGCCACGTTGGACAGCTTGCTGCGGAGAAGGGTGGCCATGGCGGCGGCGGGGTCCGTGGAAAGGACAGAAGGGGCCGGGGACGCGGGGGATGCGCGGCAAGGCGGCGAGGGCCAGGGGGGCGCGAGGCCGCTATCTTCGCTCGCTTTCCCCGAGGCACCCCAGGGCGCTCTGTCTCATGACCCCCTCGGGGGGCGTCTGAGGCTCGCTTGGAGCCCACCCTGCGGGCGGGCAGCGGGGCTGGCGGAGCCGCGGCGGCGAGTGCACTGCGGAGCTGCCGCGGGGCGCGCGCTGGGCTGCGGAGGGCGGCGGCGGCGGCGGCGGCGGCGGCGGCGGCGTCAGAGCTGCTACGCGAGGCTGGTGCGGCGCCCCCACCCGTGCGCAACCCACTGCGCTCCCGCCCCTCGGAATCAGGCGGGGGGCGGGAGTTGGGGAAGGGGAAACACCCGGAGGCGAGGGGCGGGGGGAGGAGGGCAGCGAGAAGAGACAAGGGGCGTGAAGGGACTCGGGAGAATTGAGGTGGGGGCCGGGGAAGGGCGCCCGCCGGGTGGCACCGAGAGGGAGCGCACACGGGAGGGGGCGCGGAGGGCACGGTGGGGGCTGGAGTGCTGCATTTCTGGGGGAGGTGCTAAGCTCGGATCCTAGCCCTTCCCACCTCGCCGCCGCAGGGAGGGAGGGGGCCGAAGCGTGCTGATGCTCGCGGTCCCGCGGCCGCGACTACCCCCTCCAGAGCCCGGGAGCCTTTCGGCCCCAGAGCCTCTGGCCAAGGACTGGTCTGGAGGTCCAGAAAGGCGGCAGGACAGTTACCTGTCTCCGGCGGCGCGGGCCGTCTGGGCGTCGATCTGTACCCATTACTCACACTGAGACCTGGCCGCAAGCCCCCCTCGGAGGCAGAAGTGTCCGTCCTGGACCGCTCTCGAGAATGCTCAGCCCGTCTGGGTCACGGGGCTGTCTCAGCCCGTCTAGGGACGCCGCGATGAAAGCGCTTCTGCGGCTCGCTCGCCACCGACCGGCCTCCAGATGTATGCAGAACGGAGGCGAAAGGTTGGCCTTTCACTTTCTTTTCGTTTGGGAGTCTGGAAGGAGGCAGGACTTCGTGAGGGCCTCTCTCGACAGCCTCGTGGCGGGTCTGCGAATGTCCACGCCGCAGAGGGGCGCAGCCGGTATCCCGCCGGTAGGAAAGCAGGGCTCGCCGCGGGCCCCGGGCGCGGAGGTGCGCTGTGCGCTCGCCGCGGTGGTGAAAACCTAGACCCTTTCTGTTGAGTGGGGTGCGTGTGTGCGCGCGCGAGTAAGAGAGCGACCCCGAGACAAAGACCGATACCTTCTCAGATACTGCTACGGGCCGAATCTGAGCGGATTCCGAGGGTGAGATCTGGTAACCGTGTTTGTTCTGTAAATGTGTGGTTTCGTGCGCATGTGAGCCTGTGCGTTCGCAGAGCTTGTGTGTTCGATTGTGTGGTTAAGTGTTCCCGAATGCGTTGCCTGCGTTTTTGCCTGTGTGAGCCCTTTTGTAGTTGTGTCTCCCTGAGGGTCCACCGCTCGGTGTGGGCCCCTGCCTGTGTTCCCAGCTGGGCTCCCACCGGGACTCCGCTTGAGCCTGAGCAGTAAACAGCAGCTATGCGACCTGGCCTAGGTGGAGGAGGACTGGCGGCTGTGACTGCGGTGGGGCTAGGGGTAGGGAGAAACGGGAGGAAAGGAAAAGAAAGGGATTCCCCTATCTCCCCCTCTCAAAGCTCTGTCTCTCTGAGAACCCCAGTCTCCCCCTCCCCTGTAGTATTTCTAGATTAGCTCACGTCAGCGCACAAGTAGGGCGGCCTGAGGGCTTTGACCAGCCAGTTGGAGCTTCCAGGACAAGACAGGCTTCCCCCCTACTCCCTCCCCCCACCTCCGGTGCCTCAGTCTTCAGCAAGCCCCTCTCCAGATAGGGAAACTCCGCCACATTGGACAGAGATGCTCTTGATCCCTCCCCAGGTACCCCCTTAAATTCTCCTAAGAGCCTGCTGGCCAGAAACCAAGACAGAAACCCACCCCCATAAGTAACCTGAAGAATCCATCCCCCTGCACCCGCTGCTATGACAAGAAAACCTTTCCATAGAGCCTGACCCCAAACACAGACCCTCCAAGTCATGATACGACTCAGAACAAAGAGAACAGAAATCTTTCCTCCCCAAACACAGATCATCTCCTCCAGAGAGGTTTGAAATAGAACTGATCTCCCATCCCAGAGATTTGCGCTATACAGAGACCCTCCTCCAGCCCCAGCCCCATCCCCAGAGGCTGGGAAAGAGATCCCTTTCCCTAGACTCCTACAGACAAAGGTCTTCACCTCCTAATCTTCATGCCACCTTTTCTGTTCCTGGTGAAATTCTTTAGTTCCACACAAGGTGATCCGGGCAGAAACTAGGAGTCCCTAGTGCCTGCCTCTCGCCCATACACACCCAGACCTGAAGACGGCCATTGATGTCTTCTTTGACCAGTGAGGCAGTGCCATATATGTATCAGTTGGTCATTGCTGATTTATGTGTGGATTTTAGGAGGGTCCAAAATGCTCATCCTCTCTTTCCTTTTCCCTTATGTTGTTCGCTGCTGTCAAGACCCAAGGGGGGCTGTGAAGTTCTTTCATTAGTGAGAAATGGGGTCATTCATGCATTCATTCAGCAAACCTTCTCACTGCCCTACTGTGCACATGCCTATCTTCCCAATGTTGTGGGAACCACCAGGACCGTGAGAGCGTGGTCCCTGTCTAGGCTCCCCGCCACAATTTTGGGGTCTATGGGGACATTGGAGAGCATTCAGTCCAACCATCCTTCCTGCGATGCTTAAGCCGTCCCTAAAGCACCCCTTCTTTTACAGATAAGCACACCCAGGCCTGGCCGTGAGGTGTCCTGCTCAAGGTCACCCAGAGTCCAGGGTAGAGCCCCAGGAATCCTGATGTTCCTCCTGTGCCTTCCCTTCCATGACCTTGTCTGTCCTTCCATCTCCTCTCCCTGGCTGTTTGGTGTTTGGCCACCACACCGTCAAGAGATGACATTCGAAGCAGACACCCGTCCCTCTGGCAGTCATCAGATGTCAGCAGTTGGAGCAGGAAAGCCTCTGTGTCCCTCTTTTCCTGCTAATTGCCACAAATGCCTCTTCCCAGGCCAGGGTGGCAAGCTCCCAAGCAGCCTTCCCTTATTAGAATATTCTGCTCCCTCATGTACTAGCTGTGCGACATTGGACTACTTACTTAACTTCTCTTAGCTTCTACTCTCTCATCACTAAAATGTAAAAATAATAATAACAGTTTCATCTGGTTCTTGAAAGGATTCGGTGAGTCTTGTATGTAAAATGCCTAGCAGGGAATGCTCAGTGTCCAGGACATGGTAGCAATTATTCTATTGTTGTTTCTGCCATGCTGAATGGCCATGTCTCATTGTTTGGGGGGGTGGGGAGTGATTGTGCAAGAAAAAGCCCGTGACGTGTGTGAAAGGGTGAGTTGGCATGTGCCCTCTTCTGTCTTTGTCTCGCCACCCCATCCTCGCCCCTTCAGGGAAAGGAATGGAGGTCGAGAGTTGGGCAGAGGGCAGGGGACCTGGCAGGCAGCCCCAGGAGGCAAACAGGACAGCCTGCCTAGCTGGTAATGAGCTGGGCATGCTCTAGAGAAGCCATCAGCCTCCAGATTCTCCTGATAAGCATCTCTAGCGGCACCCTCTCCAGAGGAATTTGCAGCAGCGTGGCCCCCTGCGCTGAAACACAATGCACACATATACACATGCACTCACACACAGAGAATGACAAGGCAACTGACAGATGGACCAAGAAGTGAGGGCCAGTGGCCAGACTCAAGCACATTGGCAGATTTACACTGGGCAGTGCACACAGGTCAAGGACAGGCCAGCACGCAGACACACAGAAGATCTGAACCGAGACTGCCCACCACACAGAGAAACCAGGACAGACCCCCCTTAGATGGAGCCCCATGGGCACCATCACCCAGATGACAGACTTAGACACACAGCAGCACAGGATGAGCATGTAACACGGAGAATTGTACACACACTGACAGACACCCAGACATGGACCACACATACAGTTCACACCCACACCCAGAGTCAGGCACCCCCAAATGCAAGTGTACCCCTATAGGATTACGGATGGGGAAAAGAAGGGAGAACAAAGGGAGGAAAAGGGGCAGAGGAGATATAAAAAGGAACAAGCGAGAAGAGGGAAGAGGGAGACAGAGAAGGACATGCCAGGCAGAGGCACCAGCCAGCAGGGCACAAAAGAAACCCAGGTTCCACAGCCTTCCTCTTGGCCCTCGCCAGAACCCAGCCCTGGGACTGAGAAAAATGGGAGCTGGAGGGTGTGTGGGGAGGGAGCCGGAACTGCTGCTGCCCACCCTGGGAGTGGGGGCGGGGGCTCTCCTCTCAGGGCCACACAAGGTCCCACGGTCTTGAGGGGCTTGGGAGATCCCAGGACTCCTGCCAAGCCCCATGAAGCAAGGACAGTATTCTGGACCAATCCTGCAGCGTGGGCCCAGGTGGAATGTGCACCCCTCTGGCAACAGGAGATCCCTTTCTGTTTTTGATGCTTTCAGTACCCAAGGGGTTAAACGCCTGGCAAACAGAGATGGAGGCCTCTTTTGGGAGGAATAAATAGGGTTAAATAGAACTGGGCTTATCTCCCAGAGCAGGCAGCAAACTGGGGGATGGGGCAGGGAGCCCTTGAATTATTGGCCTGGAAAGCCAACATCATGAGCATCATTTTGGGGCTGAATGATCACAGACAGACCACCCCCCCCTTCCTTTTCCAGAGCAAATTCTGTCGGTGAGCCTTTTCCTGCTGAGGAGACAGATGCTGGCTCTATAAATCATCCTCCCTCCCTCAAACTGGGGCAATAGTGAGGTTTTCATGCAGCCGGAGGAAGCCATGCCTACCTTGCCCCAAACCAGAACTCAATTTCCTGATACTGTGTCTGTGGGCACAAGGGAGGAGAGGGGGCAGCAGGGCTGAGGGTTCCAAGTGGGCAGCCCATGCCTGGAACAAAGACCCCGAGACTTCC